TCATAAATTGAGGAGCAATTATTCATATTTCTTAAAAAAAATCCTTATGGTTACAAAGGGATCATCAGTGTGAACTCTGGGTTTCCTGTGCATAGATTATTTGGTTTGAGAAGCCAGGAATGGAAAAAGTTAAAACCAAAGACCAATCAGAACAAAGACAAAATAGCCCCCAAACCGTGTAAATAATAGGGGAAACTGGAAGTCATTTACAAAATCTTGATTTCTGCTTCTCTTTTGACCCCCCCCCCCAGCCAGGAACATGTCTTCTTTATAAAGGGAAATACAACAATTTCTAGACAAAGGCAGAGGGATTTTTGCTATGCTCCCAGAAGGAACACAGAACACAACACACTTAGGGCTATAGCTTAATTGAATTTCTTTTGGTTCAGTCTTTGTGCTTAGATCCCTCAATTATTAGGCCTGATTTTTGCACACAAGTGTTTGCCTACACATGTGCAAGGACTGCCCTTTCCATCAGACTGGAAGCTTCCTGAAGGCAGAGATTGTCATTCCCATCGAACAGGGAACTAGCTCCCTGAGAGAACAGGCTTTCTTTCCCATTAGACTAGGAGCTCTCTGAGGGCATAAATCACGCCTTCCTCATCACACAGAGAATATTGTGAGGGCAGAAACTGTGTTGCTTGTCAGGAAGGCTGCCTATTCTCTCTGCCCATCTCCTGCGGGTCCGATTCGGGGGCTGGGCATAGGGTAGGAGCTCAGTGCATGGTGTGTGCAGGGATGTCTCCTCTCCAGTCCGGCTCCTGGCCAGGCTGATCTGCGGATCGGAGGTCAGGCCAGTCCCAGAGTCAACAGGCAGTAAACAACCCTACACATGAGTCAGCTGTCTAATTGGCTGGACCTTCCCTGGTCCAGATCCCTCCAAATTTGTCCCAGAAGGCTGAGGAAGAGAGCAGGCTGCTTGGATGGGAATAAGTCCAGGGAGTGAAACTGTTGTCGTGGGTGCTCCTGAATGCTTCAAGAAGAGTTACTTCTTCTGCTGGGAGTCACTGAGACTAAATTTCTGGTTAAAGCCTTTGATTAGATCAGGGAAAGGGGCCTCATGGCTGCTTTTATTCTTTCTCATTGGGATTAATAATCAATAGCTGCCACTTATAAAATGCTTTGAGGTTTGCAAAACACTTAATATATAGTCTCATTTGAGCCTCACAACAACCCCGTAAGGTTGGTGCTATTATTAATCCCATTTTACAGAGGAGGAACCTAACAGAGAGGTTCAGTGATTTGCTTAAAGTCACCCAGCTAGGATTTGAACTTAGATCTTTCTGACTCCAACTCCTGTGCTCTACCCACTGCATCACCTTTAATCTCAGCAAATCTCAGAGAAGGGGACAAAGTGGCAGTCTGGAGACCTGGCAGATAAAGATTTGAGATTTCTAGAGCTCAATCTGTGTTTTAGGATCTCCTGGCTTGGAGAATGGGAGCAGTTAGCTTGAACGTTGTGTCCCCCTCCTTCATTTGTGTCCCTCCCTTTTTCTCTTCCCCAAACTGCCATCTGGGTCTGAGTCATTTTTCCATGGTCCAGCCCTGACAGATTTGGGATGGGGAAACGTACAAATGATCAGGGATCACTATGTACCAAAGGGCAGAAGGTGGGGCTCATGGCGTTGGAAGAGAAAGGACCAGGAGTTTAAAGGAATGGGGGCTGAAAATGAAAGAACTGAGAGGGAAGACTATTTAGACATGTAAGTCAAAGACTTAGAGCTTGGGTTAGTACTAGGGCTAAACCCTGTAAAGGATCATGGGAGGAGATTGTTGGATAACTGACTCTACTTTGACAGCTAGATGGATCAATGGATAGATCACTGGACCTGGAGTCAGGATAAACTGAGTTCAAATCTGGACTTCAACACCTATTTTCTGTGTGACCCTGGGCAAGTCCCTTAACCTCTGTCTCGGTATCTTCAATTGTATAAGGTGACAATGATAGTGTCAAACTTACAGAGTTGTTGTAAGGATCAAGTGAAGTAACATTTGTAAAGCGTTTAGCATGGTGTCAGGCACATAGTAGGTACTTAATAAATGCTTGTTCCCTTTCTTTCTTCCCCCACCCTGCCCCAGAGTCAAATGAGGAAGTCACTAGGTGAAGGTCCTAGGGACCTTTGGTTTCTCCTAGTGCTGAAGACCTGTAGGGAACTACATGACTTGGGGAGTCCCATTACAGGAGGGTGGCTGGCATCATGGGATCAGGGTGGAAAGGAGGAGCATTAAGGTGGGGGGACTGGTGGCTGGCACGAGCTGAATCTCCTCTTCTCATAATAAACTCTTACTCCTTTGTAAAATGGGAGGAAGGAGGAGAGAATAATATTTGCACTATATACTTCAGGACTGCTGGGAGGAAAGTGATTTACAGGTCACAAGTAAAGCTCTTTACAAACGTGAGTTTAATGTGATATGCCTTCTAGCTTCCAGAGGCCAACTGAAGTTTCAGAGAACAATATGGGTAGGAAGGACCCGCGGTGTGTGTGTGTTCCTAGAAAAGGGCTGCCTGGTTTCTCAAGTGACAGTAAACGTTCTTGCAGTTCATAGGTGGCTCTCAGGAAGTGTCTAGTCTAACTCATCCATTTGGCAGATGAGAAAACCAAGGCTCAACGTGGTGACGACTATTTCACACAGCTAGTTAGGGCACTGGACTTATTCTAGTCTTAGCTCTGACACTCTCAGCTTTGTGTGAAATGGTCTCTGACTGGTATCTCCCAAAGACAGTAGCCTGGGTCCCAGACTAATATCTTTGGGAGTCACCAATCAGAGACTACATTGTCTTTTGATTAAATTGTAAGCAGGAACAAGGCCCTGAGCATCACAGATGATCAACAAATATGTGTTTGGTGAACAAAAATGGATGAATGAGTAAATATTGTGCAGGCAAATAGTAATTTCTTACCTCATTTATAAAGAGTGTGAAATTTTAAAAAGTATTATTCTGCTATTACTAGGAGAGAAATTGAAGTTGACAAAAGTAACCAATTCTAACTGCCTATTGTGACAGAGCACAGAATAGAACTGGTGACTCTTTCTTGAGTTTCTTGGGCAAATCATCAGAAAACATTCCCATTGAGAAGGGTGTGTGTTCTCCTACAGCTGGAAAGTCTATCAGTGTTTCCTTTGATCTAATTCTGTTGCCTTCTTTTTCATTATTTCAACATGTTTAAAATTGTGTTCATCACTAAGGCACTGGGATATGGGAACAGAAAATTACTTCTATGTCAGTAAGTAATAGGAAATGATGATGGGCTTATTACAAGGAATATTTACTTTGATTCTTCAAGGATTTATGATTGCCCCACCAGCTGTGATCATAATTGTTCCATAACTTATGTCTACTAGCTTTTTGAGAATTACCATGGCCAAAAAATTCCTTGCCCTGGTGATGAGTTTATTAGAATTGTGATAGGTTGGTCTACAGACAACAGAGATATAGCATATCACTGGGATCCTGGATGTCTTATGCAAGTGTGGAAATGAGCCTGGGCTCTTGAAGGATCTGCAGGAGAGTGCAAAGATTAACAGCTCCTACCCCACTGGAAATACTTCAAGTGTGGGCCTGATGATTAGAAGGCATATCTGATAAAAAAAAAAACCCTAGAATCTTGTAGAGGACATCTAGAATTCATTATATCTTCTCTCCTGCCTCGAGGCAAGACTTAAATGAAATTGTCCCATTCAGAAAGGAAGCTCTCTCAGCTTTAAAGATACCTAAGGAAAGGCACTCTGTATTTTCTATTAGGGATCCATTCTCACTGCTGTACAAGTATGTGTAGAATGGAGGAGAGAAAAAAGCTGAATGATACAGAAGACATTTGAGAGTCCCTTGGACAGCAAGAGGATCAAATCAGTCAATACTTACAGAAATTAATTCAGACTATTCATTGAAAGGTCAGATACAGAAGCTGAAGCTTAAATACTTTGGCCACAAAATGAGAAGACAGGACTCACTGGAAAAGTCTCTGATGTTGAGAAAGATTGAAGGCAAAAGGTAAAGGGGATGACAGAGGATGAGATGGATAGTATCATTGGAAAAAGGAACACAAGCTTGGACAGACTTGGGGAGATAGTGGAGGACAGAAAGGCCCGGTGTGCTGTGGTCCATGGGGTCGTGAAGAGTTGGACCCAACTGAAGGACTGACCAACAGGTCAAGTTCATTTCATCTTATCCAGATTCCCTTTTTTGCTGCCTTTTATAGACCTCTAGATCACTTTCTCCTCAATCCGCTCAATAACTGGCTTCAGTCTTCTCCACTCCAACCCTTGTTCTCTTTCACTTCCCTGGCTTCCAGTTCTTCAATATGTTTAACTCCCATGACTTCTGCAATGAATCCATCTCAACAATGATTGGATCTTATACGTCCCAACCCTCAACTGAATTTACCCTAAGCGCAAGAATGACTAGGAAAGGAGCAGTAAGGAGAAAAGATTTAGAAGTCTCTGTGGAAGAAAGGAGATATGAGGAGTCTTTTAAAGGTTGGGAAGGGAACAGTACCAAGATAGGAGGTCTAGGTAGCAACCTATCAGAGAGTAAGCCATAAAGGGTTTAGAAAATGGAGCTGCTCTTGCATTGATAAAAGGAACTCCTTATACAAGTTCAGGTTGGTACCTCCTTTGCAACTTAAAAAGGGATTCACCATCACTGGCTGATGAGCTCCACAAAGTCCAGTTCCTGCCTTCCTTAGCCCATAAAAACACACCAACCATACACAGGGAGAAGAAGCTACATATACAAATGCCGTCCTTCTTTTCCCCTCCCCATTTTATTGATGTCTCTAATTCCGCCTTTCCTTCTAGCAAATACATAGCCCAGAACTTGGTGGAGAGGCTCCACAGGGCTCTAAATAACCCAGCAAAGGGGAGGATCAAATCTCCATTCTTGTTAAAATGCAAAGAATCTAAAAGAACTTGTAAGTATCTCAGTCTCTACCAAGCCAACAAAGATGGCCCCCTCTTTTCCCTTCTAAGCCATGCTCTCGAAAGGGCCATAGCCTTACCCTGTGGTGATGTCGTCATCCTCTGTCATGGTCTTGCCCATGAGGTCACTGTCACTCATATAGCCAGATTTGAGGTCAACCTCATCAGAATCCAAAGACTCAACTAGCTCAAGGCGGGAGATGTGGCTGAGTTTGCTGGGACTTCGCATAGGCATAGTGTGAGAATAGTGGGCTCTCTCGCCATGCATGTACCAGGCTGGAGGGCCCTCGGAGCGGCAGCTCCCGCCCACTGAAGGTGCGTCACCCGCCTGCAGGCGGGGGCTGGATTGTCCGTAGCGCCAAGAGAGTGGGGAGGAGCGGTTGGAGAGGCTGGACACACTGCGGGGGTTGGCATCATCACTGTCATAGCAGGTCATCTCCAGGGAGCTATGGGTAAGAAAAAGGCGAGCTCTTAGGAATCAAAGAACTTCAGAGCTGGAAGAGATTTTTTTAATAGATCACAGAATTAATAATAATAATAATAGCTAACATTTATATAGCCCTTACTATGTGCCAGGCTCTGTGCTAAGTGCTTTACAATTATTATCTCATTTGATTCTCATAACAACCATAAGAGGTAGGTGCTAGAACTAGCCCCATTTACAGATGAGGAAACTGAGGCTCAGGGTCACATAGCTAGTAAGTGTCTTCCTGACCCTAGGTTTAGTGCTCTATCCATGATGCCTATCTAGATTATATGTGTAGAGATGGAAGGGACCTTAGGAGTCAACTAGTTCTTTATTTTACAGATGAAGAGAAGTTAAGTGACATGTCTAGGGTCACACATGTATGTGCCTGCAGGTAGTAAGTGGCAAAGCTGAGACTTCAACCCAGGTCTTCTGATTCCAAAGTACTCTTTCCATTGTGCCAAATTCCTTTTTCTGTTTTGTCATGTTAGCCCATCTGATAGGTGTGATGTGGTACCTCAGAGTTATTTTGATTTGAATTTCTCTAAGCAATAGTGATTTAGAGCATTTTTTCATATGACTATAGATATCTTTAATTTCTTCCTCTGAAAACTGTCTGTTTATATCCTTCGACCATTTTTCAATTGGGGAACGACTTGCATTCTTATAAATTCAACTCAGTTCTCCATTTATTTTAGAAATGAGGCCTTTATCAGAGACACTGGTTGTAAACATTGTTTCCCAGCTTCCTGCTTCCCTTCTAATCTTGGATGCATTTGGCTTTGTCTGTGCAAAAGCTTTTCAATTGAATGGAATCAAAGTCATCCACTTTGCATTTCATAATGTTCTCTATCTCTTGTTTGGCCATAAATTCTTCCCTTCTCCATAGATCTGACAGGTAAACTATTCCTTGCTCTCCTAGTTTGCTTATAGTATCCGTCTTTATATCTAAATCATGTACCCATTTTGATTTTATCTTGGTATAGCATTATACCAAATTCTAATTCCTTCATTTTGCAGAGGAGGAAATTGAGGCCTGGGGAGGATAAGGGACTTGTCTAAGGTCACACAGTTAATAGTGAATTGGCAGAGCCAAGCCTAGAACCCAAGTACAATGACTCCCAGTCCTGGACTCTTCACTGTATCTTACTGTCTCCCAGCATTGTTTTCATGACCAGTAGCTGCCCCTCTCCTCTGCCTCCTTACCATCCTCTTATTCTGTCTGGAATGCCCTCTGATTTCCTGTCTACCCATCTCAAAGTGACCCACAGCCTTGTTTCGAGTGCCATTCTCCAAGCATGCAACCCACACTCATCTCTCCTCTTCTGGGGCCACTGGCAGGAAGTCAGCACTGTTCGGGCACTTAATTCTATTCTATTTGTCATATACCACTTAGAGTGTTCTTCAGTTACTATATATGTGCCAATCTTGTCTCCTTAAGGATTAGAAACTCTGAGTGCAAAACTTTGTCTTATGCTCCTGTTGGCTTTGCCAACCAGGCAGCTGTCAAGTATTAATTAAGCATCTATTATGTGCCAGGAACAGGGCAGAGGGCTAGGGACACCAAGTCATAAATGAAATAGCCCCTGCCCTCAGAGAGCTTATCTTCTGTTGAGGGAAGGAGACAACATGTACCCACATAACTAGATACATAATAAACACAAGGTAATTTTGTGGACGAGGCACTAGCCACTGGGGAGATTAGGAAAGGCCTAATGTAGAAGACAGCATTTGAGCTGAGCTTTGAAAGAAACTAGGGATTCTAAGGGCAGCTAGGTGGCACAGTAGATAGAGTGCTGGGCCTGGAGTTAGGAAGACTCATCTTTCTGGGTTCAAATCCAGCCTCAGACACTTAACTAGCCTGGGCAAGTCACTTAACCCTGTTTGCTCCCATTTCCTCAACTGTAAAATAAGCTAGAGAAGGAAATGACAAACCACTCCAATATCTTTGCTAAGAAAACCCCAAAAGGGGCCAGGAAGAGGCAGTTGTGAGGAAGGGAGCATATTCTGGGCATGTTGGAAACAGCCTGTGTAAAAGCACAGAGCTGGAATGTCAGAGCACCTGGATTCAGATCCTACCTTTGACTCTTTGTGGGAGTCACTAAACCTCTATAGATCTGAAATGAGGAGTTAGACTAGATGGACTCCAATATCCCTTTCAATGTTAGTTCTATGATCCTGTGATTCTACATCATTCATGAGGACCAGCAAGACTTTCCCACTCTCCCTCGGGCTTAGAGCAATGTTGGGCTCACAGAGGATACTCAAGAAAGACCTGTCGAACTGAATTACAGAGAAGCGACATGAGTGGCAGTGTCTGAATTTCTCTACTCAGCGGTTTTCCACCCAACTAAGTGCCCTATGAAACCATGGCGAAAGGATGATAAGATCACCCTGGAAGGCTCTGAAAGTGCAGAAAAGGTGGGGCTGAGTCTCCTACATATCAATTAGTATCATAATAGAACTTTGTGATCAGACAGGGTATCGGGTATTGGGAGTTGAGTTACTCTCTTCTTGTCCTGACCCATCGGCTTTTCTGACAAGCTGATGCTGAACAAGCCTCTTCCCAAATTACTTTCCTCTTTTTATTCCCCAGACATAATAAAGTCTGGGGAAACTGCTGAAGGTGAGGGCCCCATGGCCCTAGGGAGAACCACCCTTTGACTCAGGAAGAGATTTTTATTGCAGAAGTCACTGGGCTTTATTAGGACCTACCCCCCACCCCCAATTCCACACTAGTTTCCAATTCCTACCTCAGAATAGGGGTGTGGAGAGTAGGCTTACACAAGGGAGAATGGAAAGTTTCACTTCCCCATAGCCACCTTCCCTCAGCTCCAGACAATTCTCTCCCCTTTGCTTCCCCAACAAGACCCCTAGCCTCCCTTCTCCCCTTCCCCCAATCCATTCTCAGATGGAAACATCACTGCTGGTAGGAATAGTAGAAGTGGAACTGGACCTTGATGGGTACAAAGGTTTCTGAAAAGGAATTGAATCTACATCAAACCTGTGAGTCATGACCCTCCTGCCCCCCATGACCTAGCCTTGGAGCTCATCACTGTGGTCTGGTGGAAAGGGACCTTTGCTGGGAGCCAAGAAGACCTGGGTTCTCATCCCAGCTCCACCAGCAACAATGTGTAAGACCTCTGGTAAGCTGGGTCAATTCACTTCCCTTCCCAAGTTGTCTCAATAACAACCTGGGGATACTTAAATCTATCTGCCAACACCTTATGTTAGAACTGAAATGGGCGAGCTGGTTGGATGTGCTTTGAAAAATGAAAGGGTAAAAAAAATATAGGGAAGACTAGGGACTGGACCAGGGATTCATTGCTACAGGGAACCCCTTCTATCAATGCAGGTTGGTGCTGTCTCTTCAACTTACAATCTTAGAGAGCTGCTTAGAACGGTGAGGAGTTGAGTGACTGGTCCAAGGTCACATAACAGTATGTGTCGAAGGCAGGTCTTGAATGCAGGTTTTCCTGGCTCTGAGGCTAACTTTCTTTCCCTCACAACACCTTGCCTCTCTGTCATGATATGTGATATATACTAAAAATTAAAGTAAAAATATCTGATCAAAAGGGTGGGGTGAAAACCAACTTGGGGACACAGTGAGGGGAAAAACAGCTTTGTACTGAATGAATTTCTTCCCCCAGAGGACAGTCCTCTAGCTCTCCATATGGGTTTTAGAGCTATTCTCCCGAACATCGCCCCATTCTTGAAGACAATAAACAGCCACAGCCTTGGTCACAGCTGTCCCACATCTGGCAAGTTAGAATCAGTCCAGCCAAGGAAATGGAAGCTGTTCTGCTCCTCTAGGGATGAGTCATTTTGGGTGTGACCCCAACTAAGGGCTTTCTGTTTGCCCTGGGATGAAACTTCCTGGCGATCCAGGGCCTGAGGGACTGTCCCAGTTCTTTCCCGAGCTTGGCTGGTACGGAGAGGAGTTGGGGTCTCCAGGAAACACGGGGACGGAGCCTGCTCTGAATTGGACCAATCTCACGAATACTGGGGTTGCTAGTGTTATGTCTCATGGCCTAGATGCCACTGACCAGTGTGGTTTTCCAGGCTTGCTTGCTGCTCCTACGTTTGCTAGTGGGAATAAGAGGACCACACCAGAGAGGCCTGAATCCTGGTTAGGGGGAGGCCTGAAGGACCCTCGTGTGCATTCCCCTCAGCAATTATCTTCCCTCCTCAGATTTCTTTCTCCATCATCTCCCTTCCTTTAAAAAAGCCATGTTGAAGGTTTGGCTTGGCACAGGCACAGTCACTAACCCAGGAGGGAAGACTTTGAAAACATGCCCAAGGATCTATCTTGTAACTTTGTTTTTTTTTCAATTAATAAACATTTATTTTCTCTTCTACCTCACCTCAATGGAAAAGAAGAAAAAAAGAAAGAAAAACAAAACCTTTGACCCAAATGTACATAGTCAAGCAAACAAAGTTCCATATTATATATCCAAAAATATATGTCTCACTCTGCCTTGTGTCCATCACCTCTCTGTCAGGAGATGGGTAGCATGCTTCATCATCTGACCTCAATGGATCAACAGAAAACACTGAAAAAAGACTCCCATCCTTAAGGATGGGATCTAAGCATCAGGGCTGAGGTTTGGAATTAGGACTTAGGGCCTAGGTCTGAGGGCTAAATGCTGGAATGCCTCAAATTGGGGGATGGGGTGATGTTAATTTCTTAGGATGTATAGGCTAAATACCTGAGTACTTAATGCTTGGAGGACTATAATGTAGTACTACCATAGGTTTGGGAGTATGGGCTTAGAGAAATACCCTTCTCATCACTGCCATCTCCTCAGCTTTTCCAACTTTGCTCTCAGTTTTCCATCCCCAGGAGATAGGGGAGGAACCCACTTCTAATTCAACTGAGGGTGTGACTTGTCCCTCACCCAGCTTTCTCCCTCACACCCCACAATTTCCCAATCCTGGCTGCCTCCTATACTCATTACCCCTAGAGCCCAGTCTGGCCCCTACTGCCCCCCACAGAGCTAACAGCATGAGCTCATCTGGGCAGCCAGCAGAGTCAGGGAAGGGAAACATTGAGTCAGGGCAGAGATTGTGGCCAGCAGGCTGCTGGGGGAGAGGTGCCGAGGGAAGAAGAGGTCTCTGGCCTCAGCCAGGAGCTTAGAGTTCCTCTGCATTTGGAATGGGGACGGAGCAGGCAGGCACAAGCAGGAAATGATGCCAGTGTAAAGCTGTGTTAAGCACAGCAAGAAGACACTCTCCGATGTCCACTGGTAGTGCTGGTCCAGGAGCCGCATGTAGGAGGATGGTGGACATCTTAGCTAGGAGGGAAGGGTCTTAGTGAAAGAGTATCTGGCCAGCTGGAAGGCAGGGTGAAACAGCAGTTGGCCAGTCTGGGGCACCAATGGGTGAGCCATATACCTGTACCTGGGAGAAAGTTGGAGAGACATTGGGTTGTTCCACAGAAGAGGAGGCAGAGGAGGAAGAGAGTAAGGGAGCAAGGGAGATCCCCTCAACCCAAGGCTTACCTGTGAGTTACCTGGGAACCTCTCAGGCTAGACATAGTCTCCTCCAGGTTCTGTCGAAGGTCCAAGACATTTTGAACTGTTCTCTTTCTCTGGGACTCCGGATCTGCAAAGGGTGAGGGGGAAGAGACAGGATGAGTTTGGAGACTGACCACAGGGGAGACTTAGGATAAGTAAGGTGGACAAATCCCTGGGATGCCAGATCACTGGGGAGAATCCACTGGTGAAGACAGAGATAGTGCTGCCTTCCCTCAGGCCTGGGTGTGTGTGTGTGTGTGTGTGTGTGTGTGTGTGTGTGTGTGTGTGTGTGTGTGTGTGTGTGTGTGTGTGTGTGTGTGTGTGTGTGTGTGTATAAAAGCCCTGGAAGATGGTCCATAAAAATGAGATCTTCTGTCCCTCAGAGCTTCCACTCCCTCCCCCCACTCCCATGCCTCCCTCCCCCACTCCCATGCTCATAGTGAGAGCACCTGGCTGTTGTCCTCTGGGGCAATTTTTCCTACAAACAAGCGTTCCTGCCAAGGTTTGTGCCAATTAAAATTAGACTCAAAAACCATCCCTCCCCTCCAACTCTGAGTCTCAGGCATTCTGATGGGGGCACATCTGGAGCCTCAGCTGGCCAGAAGGGAGAAGCGCCCCTCCCAATGGGGGATCTGGGAGGTAGATCAGATGGGGTTCTTCCATCTGCTAATTAGGATTAAAAGAAGTTTCTCTGACTAACCTGATAGCACAATAGCAGAGCCAGGAGGAGAACCCAGCAGGCCTGATAGCTCTAACTTATCTTGGGCGGGTGGTGGTGTTGGTTTAGAAGGGCCAGGAGACAGTTCAGGGATTGAGAGGGTGCCTATGGAATGGGTGTTGGGCCAAGGCCAGGGACAACCAGCGCAATACTCTTTTGGGAAGTGCCCTTGATGACAATGAAATACAGATTTGGCTACTGTAGAATTCTTTGGCAAGAATAACCTACCTGAGGTCATCTTATCTACCTACTTGTCTTCATGTTGGATGACATTTAGGACCTCAATGGACTCTACAAGAAGGAGAACCTTTTATAGCAAACAAATCAGAAGATCCTCCCTCCCTTCTGTTTTATAGTGTGACAAAAGCAATGGCTCAAGAGAGAAGGGGATTTGACAGCTCAAAAGACTTTTACCTAAGGATCTCCAAGTACTTAGTGGAAGCAAATTTATGACGTCTCCTTGGAATCCAGGAGGTAAAGGTTTTCATGAATGACTTCACAGAGAAGGATTCAGGAGGTCTGATATGCCAGGAAATCTCCCCCTACCTTTTCCCCTTATTTCTCCTTCCCTCATCCCTCATGAATGAAGCTGCCCACTCAGCCCACCACAGACTCAGCTGGAGTGTTGGGTTATTTCAGCTGGAAAAGGGAAAACTTTGGAATCCTTTTGAGAGTTGGGTTTTTTTTTCCCCTTTGCCAAGATTGAAACCTGGGATCTGGCAAAAGGCTGCTTAGACTGTCTCGCCAGCTGGAAGGAGGGTTGGGTGGGGATGGGCGGGGAGCCAGGTCCTGGCAGCAACCACTCCCTCTCCCAAGATCTCCAGGGTACCTTTCCTACAAGTCAGCTCCACACCCCAATCTGCTCCACCTTCCTTTCTCCCACTTAGGCTAGTACCTTAATATTCTCTGGTCCTTATTTTATTCATCTATAAAAAGATGGGTTGAAATACGTGATCTCTAAGTTACTTTTAGCATTCAATTCTGTTATCCTATATGGCTCTTTATCAGCTAGCATTAGACACCCCAGGTGAAGTTCTTTAGATCACCCTGCTGGTAGGCAAGGAAAAAAACCAAGACAATAATGGACACCTTGCCAACTGCTTGAGGTCCTGGTATTCTAGTACAATTGTTATGGGGCATTCAGGAATACAGTACATGCCAGTGAAACAATGGGTCAAGACCATGGTCACCATGCCACAGAAATGTCTCTAAAGGCTGGAGACAGATAGGAAGCAGGGGATGATGAGTGTGTCTGGGAGGGGGGTAGGTTTGTCAGGCCCTACTGCGTTTAAGAGCCAGGTTGGGAAGAGAAGGGTTTTTAATAATACAGCAAACAAACCATATTTGTTCAGACTTTGATTACATTATACCAGTGACTCCAATCAATATTTCCCAGGTGGGAAGAAAAGGTCAGATTTGACAGAAAGAGGTCAGAGAGTTCAGAGATGGGCCTGTGCAAATATCTCAGCACCCTTTCTGGCATTCATCAAAGCACCTGCAGCCCTTTTGGTCCCTTTTCGTGATTCCCAACTGTCAATGTGGAGCTTGCAGGGCAACATGGAGGAAGGAAGTCCTTTGATCTAAGAAAGATAAACTGAGAAAGGAGAGGAAGCTTGGGTGAATTGCTCAATGTACAGGCCCAGGGATTCTTCTTTAGTCTTGGAATACAATGACCCACAAAGAAAGCTATTTACTCCCAGATGACTCAAATTCAAGGACAGGATCCAGCAATCCCACTCAGCATTTTTCTTGCTGGTGGGCTAAGGAGGGAACCAGAGTCCAGTGACTCTTCCTGTCTTCTGTTGAAGATAATATTCACCCCTCCTCTTCCCCCCAAGAATCCCAGATAGCAGAGAGAACATGCTTATTTTATTGGTTAGGAAGATATCATAAAGAAGCAAAAGGGAGAAAATTAACCTTCACCCTTTAGTTGGATAAACTTAAAGGTTACTTGGAACTATCTCTGAGCTCCAGGCTTTAGTAAGACCCCATGCTTTGCATATATTAATTAGGTGCTTAAAATTTTCTGATGAATTGAATTTGAACCTCGAAGAAGTCAATCTTTCTACCTTGGTTTGCTCATCTGTAAAATGAAAGAGGGAAGGCTAAATGATCTTATGTTCTTTTCAGCCCTAAATCTGTGATCCTAAGCTCTAACTTGAGAGACATGGGATAGAAGGTGGCCTTGGAGTCAGGAAAACCTGGAGATTGAGTTTCTGTCATTGATATGTCTTAGCTCTGTGAACCTGGGGGCAAGCTACTTAACTTTTCATGTCTCCAGGCTATTCTGTAGACCATAAGTTACATAAGTAATTGGGGGGGGGGGGAAGAAGGAGGAAGAAGGGATTTTCCATAATGGGAGTTCCCAACACTGATGCAATCACAGATCCAGATTGTTCTGGAATCTGTCAGATTTGTTCTTCCCCACCCCCAACTCCTCACCCAAACCAAACGAAACAAAAACTTTAACTTCAGAGCTCTAGCTGTAGCTGGACGAGCAGGAAGAAGGCTATAGAACAGTAATGTCCTTTTCAGAGGCCCAGCAGTGTTATCTCCAAAGAAAGAAAAGAGAATATAACATGGAGGAGGGGTCCTTTTCTATCTCCCCAAGAATTTCCCACTTGTCTTCCCCTGATTCCCACCCAGGAACTTAATTCCTTAATACACTGCATCCTAGCATCTGGGATGATGCCCGTCCTTCTCCCCCATCTGATTCTATCAGTATTAGGAAGTGCTGCTTTCAAACTGTCCCACAGATATAGATAGATTCTGAGCAAAGAGACTCCAGGTGAGGGAAGACTTTCACCCTAGGATCTGGTCTCTCCTCCCAGGACATGGGCATAGATGAGGGATGCTGAAATCCGGGACTTCTGCAGAGCTATTTTTGGCGGGCCTCCCAGCAGCGACATCTGGTGGCCAGGTTGGATATGACAATTGGTCTTTCACCTGGAAAGAAGGTTGGATTTAACCCGTGGGAACTCTGGAACAGGAACTCTGCTCCCGGAGGAGAACAGGAAGGGATCACTGGGGATGACTAGGAAGATTCAGGCTATAATCCTGAGAATATAGCCTGGAAATAGCACTTTATTCTGCCTCACCTGACCATCAGGCCCCCTGAGGACTATGAGGAGGAAGGGCAGTTTGGAAGAGCTGGGGACCTATCCTCCCCTTTCACTCTGGGGCCCTCCACCCCATTCCAAAGTTATGGCTGCTCCTGACAAATGGTTTTAGGACTGGGGGTGGGGGAAGTATACAACTTCCCTCTGTCTAGCAAGTTCTCTCAGAACTCAGCACAACCATGGGAGGTGAGGGTGGGGGGCAGACATGGCCAGCAGAGGGGATCTAAAACTATTTTCCTTTCTGGACAGCTCCAAGAGGCTTTGTCTGAGGGCTGTAAGAGGCCTTCCCATAGCTCCCTCCATTTCCCCTAGCTGGTGCCGGAGGCTTCTCCCTGCACAGATGGAGCAACAGCTTTGGGGGACTGGAGGGGTGGGTGTGCTAATTCAGGGTCTCTAAGGCATAAGAGGCTCCCCCAAGCTAGCTGTCACCATGGCAACTCACTCTAGCTTCATGTAAACAACTACACATACCCAGCATGCAACAGGACATCCGCATTGTAGGGTGGTGGTTCGTTTTACGTCCAGATGACTCTTAGACCAGTCTGGGGTAAATTTTGTTTGACCCACAGTCACTGGAATGACAACGTGTGTCCATGTGCTCCCACTCACACACACATGCACATATGTGTACATAATATGCCATAATAAATTTGAAGCACATAACCTGTATATAGTTACAATTATAGATACTGCTGGACTTAGGAATGTACTGGCAAATGTCAAAATGTAAGAGACACACACACACACACACACAAACACTGTCCAGCTGTGGGAATGGAGGCCATTGCCACAAAGGGGACAGTGCCTGAGTGTACATACCACCTACCACTTTGGAGGAGGGGAGACAACCAAAGGCTAAGGGGGTAAAGATTGTGATACCAAAGGAAGCAGGATGACTGAGACCGCTAAATCTGGCATAAGAGACGGCTGAAGAGGGGATTTTGTAACACTTAGATTTTATAAGCAAGTAGCAGAGGCTGCATCTGAGCTCACAGCATCACAGAATCTGGGAATCAAAAACAATCTCAGCAGCCACCTAGTCTGACCCACTATAACATAGCCGCAGCCTGAAGACCTCCAAGAAAGGGAGACCCTCATGTCTTAAGGCAGCCCACTTGGGGGCAGATCTAAGGGTTAGATAGCTTTCCTTGACATCACGCCTACCTCTTTGTGATTTTCACCCGTTGTTCCTGCTCCAGCCTTCTGGGACCAAACAGAACACACGGAACCCCTCTTGTGCACGAAAGCTCT